TGGATTGAGTCCTCATTAGTTCTCTATGCTTAGCATATTCTATGTTTCAATCAATCATTGACATCTTGGAACGTGCATACATTTGTCTATTTAGAAAGGTTTGCATCCAGGTTTTCCTATGATAGGGATAACCAAGATGGCGCCGGGACGAGTGGTAGTGGTAGCTAGTTCCCTCATTTTTGTGTCGTTTTCCTCCATCCTTTATCTTATATGTGCTTGCTTTGTATTGATGGGATGTTGAGATGTATTTATGATTAGCTTAGGGGAACTTTACTTTTCTTAAGGGTTTGTCTCGGTGGCCAATATTGTTGTTGAGCTTGCCTTGTTTTCTTTTGCCTCTTTTTATGATGGTCTCTATCTTGATCTCTCTTTAATGGTGTTTGCTTTTCATGTCTATTTCTCTCATTCTAAATCTTGTTGTTGTGATGATTTTTCCTTGATGATGTGCATGTGTTGCTCCCACAAATCCAAAACCCCTCATATCCAAATCCCATGAATCCAAACCCTTGAATCCAAATTTTGTAGTTTAGTTCTTTGTAGTTAGTTTTGGTTAACTAGTTTTTATTTTCTTATCTTCACTTTTTGGTAAGTTTAGTTTAATTTTGCTTCATAGTTCCTTTTTATTTTGTTTTGAAGTTACTAACCGTTTTCTTTGTATATTTCCTTTTTCTACTTTTCTTCTCACATGGCTTTGATGATGATGATGCTATTGTCTTTGGAGCTCAACGAAGGTGGTCAATTCTACCACCTATTTTTATTAGAATTGCTCGGAAGCCGGTGAGATCTTTCTTATTTTTCTTTATCTGTTTTCTTTTCTTGGATGCATAGTTTATGATTAGTTTTAGGAGAAGTTGAATGGTTCGAGGATGGATGCTTATAACACCTAGACTTTTTGGGATCATTGGTAATGTTGTCAAATGATCACGTGTTTGTTGATTGGGAATTTTGTGTTAACTTGCTTCTTTGTTCCTTTCTTTCTTTTCCTACTTTTCCTTTATCTATGGTTTTCCATTTCTCTTTTCTTTTCTTTTATTTTTTTTTTCTTCTTGATTTTTGTTTGTGGCATGTTTTGAGGCTTTATTTTTCACTTTTTATCTTTTTTTTTAATTGGACTATATACAACTGATTTTTGCTTTTGAATGAACATCTTTCGAAGTGGTAATGGTATGCAGGGTTTGAGAGTATGCTTGGTTGACTCTAGGATAGGTGTATGCTAAGGTAGCATGTCTAAGAACTAGGCGGATCATGAAACCGGATTCTACTTTTTGTGGCATGTTTGTAGTTGCTTCCTATAGTTGATTTAACACCTATAGTGAGTTTTTGCTACATCCATGTGAGGTTCATCATTTCTCAAGCCTTCAACATTTATTTGCATGAGCGCCATGCATCCTTGACTATTGCGGACCTAATCTTGAATCTTGACTCATAATTCTGAAACACGAGACCGAACCATCTAGGGAGGACAAAGGCATCTTGTTAGGGTGTTACTTTTCTTTTTCTAGGTTTAATCTTTTTTATTTCTAGTTATCGGGTTCACATTTGCATACTTGATAACCATTTGTGCCTTTTCCCTTTTTTTCAAGCCACAACTTTAGAATTTTGAGCCTTTTGTTTCATGTTTTTCCCATTTTTGGTTTTTGTGAAGAAAATGATCATGTTCTTTGAGTTTGTGGTATATGAGTTTGGATACTGGTTATATTCGTAAGCAAGCTTGTGTTGTGTATATATTGTGAATAATGGCAATTGAATTAATGAAAAAAGCCGTCCAAAGTTAAAAAAAAAGGCAAGGACAATGAATAAAGTGAAAAATGAAACAATTGAAAAAAAATTAATATGAGAAAATGCAAAGCAAATTCAAAAAGCTTCTGAAATAAAAAATGAAATAAAAAATGAGAAAATTCAAAAATATCTTAATTTGAATTATTCTCCCTTTCAAAGCATTGAGGACAATGCTTCCTTTAAGCTTGGGGGAGAAGCTTTTACGCTTTTTGTATATATGATTGTGGTTATAGCTTTGAATAAGCTTGGGGGTGTTACTTTGTTTTTGATTGGTGATTACTTGATTGTGATTCTAATAAAGGGCCCGTTCTTTGCTTCACTATTAGGGATACCACCAAATTTTCAAATTTTAGCCTACCCTCACCCTTTTTCCCTTACGTTACAACCATTGGGAAAGACCTTTCGACCTAGAGGTTGAGTCATTTACAGAGGGAGGGAATTATGAATTAAATCCTAAAGAGAGGGGATGCAAAGAAAAGACGTTGAGTAGCCTAAAATAAGTTCTTTTCCGAATCCTTTGAGGAGCTATTAAGATTCTCATTAGAAGAAGATTTGAGACTATAGGGAGAACGCGGTAAGATCGAATGGGATGAAGGTGGATTGTGATAACTAGTTCTCTACGCTTAGCATATTCTATGTTACAATCAACCTCGGATATCTTGGAACGTGCATTCCCCTATTTTCTTAATGAAGTTGTTTATTCATTTGAAGTGTAGTCATTTTGTAAAGTCCAATTTGTGAAAGTTTTGATTTTGTTTTGAAAGGAATGGTGTCCTTCGAACAAGTGTATTATTCTGATAGTGGGTTCAGAATTATTAGAAATCTAATATATTCAGTAAGGTCAAGTGATCGGAATGCCTAGGTTGAGGTCGCTTACGATCAGTAATATTAATGTATAATTAATATTACAGCTTAATCTTGACTGAACCCTTCGGGTCACACCCAAGCAATTAGCAAACCAACTCGACGAATTAATTCGAAAGAAATTAATGAGTCACCCGAGTATTAAATATTTAGACGTTGGAAATTCGAGCTTAGAGCGTCGAAACCAAGCTTCGAAAGTCGAGTAAAAAATAGTAAAAGACGAGACGAAAAAATTCGTAATAAATCAACAATGACCAAAATACCCCTAGCGTCAGAACCCCGAGTGCTAGGGGATTAGGCAAGCTAGTAGCCCGCACCATGTGCGAAGCTTGCTAGCAAGCTACGACCAGCAGCCCGCACATGTGCGAGGCGTGCTAGCAGCAGCCTTCGGCAACAGCAACCCGCACATGTGTGCGTGGGTGTGCTGGCCGAATTGGCTGGCAGCAAGCAGCCCGCATGTGCGGGGCTTGGCTGGGCCGGGTAGCTAGGGTCGTGGTCATTGGGAATGTATGTGAGGGAGGCTTCAAGTGTGACGGACAAATGGCACAAGGAGAGGAAGGAGTGGGGAGCAAGTATGGTCCCCTCCTCTCCAAGTGGTCCTCACTTCCCTTTTGATACAATGATGACACTTGTTGATTTATTACTTGCTTGCTTATTTATTTTATTTTAGCTTTCAAATAAATTGTGGAATTTCATGATCCCACATTGATGGGATAGAAATTCCCACTCTCACTCCTCCCTATAAATACCCACCTTGGGTTTTTGGGGAGAGTGCTTGAGTATGAATTCAATAGAGCATTGCATTTGCAAAAACTCTTAAACTCCTATAAAACTCAGGTTTTGGTCGGACCTCGCTAACCTCGAGGTAAAGGACCTAAAAGTCGGTAGTTGTTTTGCGGGTGGATCTCCGTCGGAGGCTCTCGTGTTTTCGGGACTAAACTTTCAAGTAAGAGCCCAATTGGTCCGGCGAAGCACGCGACAAAGGTATATCCTATTTTGCCCTTTTGTGTTTATTTTATGCATTAGTGATATTATTTATTGCGAGGGTGATCCTTGGCTCGGGTTTTTTCCGCGGTGAGTAGGACTCACCAAACCCCAATAGCAATATCGGAGCCCCGCTCATTTATTTTTAATTATCACATTTTTCAAGGTACTTTTTATGGCTTAATTTTTCTGGTTATAAGTTGCTAATTAGATTAGTAGCTCGTTTTATCTATTTTAACCTCGTATTAGAGCTGACTTCAGCTCCTAACCCAGATTTCGACCCAAAAATAGTGAATTTTAGGTGGAAAAAGCGTTCTAAAAATGGTTTTACCCTTTTAGGACTCGGTTTTTAGTCAAAAAACGACCAGAAATGCATTTTTCGAGGGGGTTTTCGTTTTTACAAAAAAATTTAAGTCTTTCTAACCTTGAAAATTAATTGCATATTTATGGTGGTTATGTAATTGGTTCAATACATATTTTATATGCAATTTTAAACCTCTTTAGGAATGATTACTTGGTGGTATTTTGTGTTTGAAAGCTTGGTTTTATTTTTCACATAATTGCAAATTAATTGCATTAAGTGTTAAATTTTTGTTTTTGAGGCTTCTAAAGTGCTAAAGATTCAATCTTTAATTATGTTAAGTGATTGAAACTTTGAATTACTATATTCCATGATTTTTTAGTTGTTTGGAATCATAAAGTTTGAAACTTGTGATAGAAATTTGTTTATCTTCATATTGGAAGATATAATTTTTCAAGGATTCACAAGTATTAAAGTTGGAATCTTTATTGAACTTATGTTCATTTTTCCAACTTCCTTTTATTTTGTCAAAACTCAAGATTAATTTAAATTAATTAAATTAATAGTGAGTAATTTCCTTCTTATTTTTGTTGCACCAAGTTAAACCATTTTTTAAAGAATGGTTCTTGGAATAATTTTTGGTTTTATGGACTTGGATGAATTTATTTAAGTTGAACTTGTTATAATTTTCATTTTTCCTCATAATTAATTGATTCTAAAATTAATTTAGTAATTGATTAAAAATTTCACACAAAGTCGAGATTTTTCCAAATCAAGGCCTAAGAGCCCCAAGCATGCTCTCAGGCAGCCGAGTTGCTCACGCAACCCACATGGGGCTGTCGAGGCTGCTAGGCGCCTCGAAATGCTGCACATGTGTGTGGTGCACTACACCAAATAGGGGAAAATGGAGCACATGATACACAATTGTCAAGTTAGATAGACGATCCCTAGGAGTATATAGAACATCTATGTTAGCGGAATGTTTTGTATGTTGAATCATATAGAACGTCTGTCTCACATAACAGCTCTATTTGTTCTTTTATGAAAAGTGCCTTTACGATATAAAACGCCTTCTCACTTGACTGTTCTATTTTGTTTTGATATTTTTACTAAAAAAATTAAAAAAAAGGGGGAACCCTAACCGCTGTCTTCTTTTTTCTTATTTCTTTAACTTAATCGCCGCTCATAAAGTTTAATCTCTCATCTCCTTCCTCAAATCAAATATTTCCTCACTTCTCCTCCTTATCAGATTTAATTAACTCTAAATTTAAGAGGTAAAAATGTAAAATGAAGGAGTTATTTATATTCACTCACAATCATAGTGTTTCGTTTCGAAATTGAGTTGTTGGAATCCACAACAACTAGATCAGATTCGCACGAGTGGTTTGTATTCACTCAAAATCACATTTCCGCCATACCAAATCGGATCGTTTACAAGTAATTTCAGGTTTGTTCATTATATTCCACCTATTTAGCTAAATATACAATTTTCTCTATTTTTTAAGCCCAAATTAGGGGCTGATTTAAACCGATTAGAGTTTAATTTTGTTGGTTTGTGATGATTTTTGAAGCACATTCAAAGTTAAAATTGCATTATTTCAGAAGTTTGAATATACTACAGACAGGATAAGAGGAAGAGTGTGGAAAAGATTTGGGCCAGGTTAGAGTTTAATTTGGTTTGTTTGTGATGATTTTTTTTATTGATTTTTGTCTTTTCATTATTTAATCTGTTTGTATAGTTAATGTTTTAGATCTGATTAGTCTATTATTCCTGTAGGGGATACATAGTAATTTATAAAGTATTGAAGATTGAAGAACCTCTTCAATACGAAGGAGACTACCACGAGTATAATTGAATCAAGGTTGGCATTTCAAATTGAAGCTATGGACGATGGGGTAGCGTTTATGGAGCTAGTGGAATTGACTATATCTCTAATTTATACTATACTTGTATTAGTTTTGTATATCGAGTTTTGATTTTTTAATTTTAATTTTGTGAATTGTTTATACTCTGTAATTTTGAATTATAAGTGATTGAAGGTTAAGTTTGTTTACTTAATGAATTCATATGCTTTGTAGTTTCTGATTTTCCTTCATTATATTTCAGTTTCAGTTGCTCTTTTTTTTTCCCAATTTCAGTTTCTAGAACTATTAAAAAAAATAAGTTTCTAAAACACACAGTATGAATGTAGCAAGAAAATAGGGGACATTTTTTATTATAAAGATCAGTTAAGACAGCTTAACCGATCGATCTGTTTTATTTTTTATAAAGATCGGTTAAGACAGCTTAATCGATTTGTTTTCCTTCATATTTTTTCAATTTAAGGAAGAAAAAAGAGAACGGTTGTGACTAAGAACCGTTCTCTATCTTTCATTATACAAAACGCCTATTAGAACCGTTCTATATACTTTACCCATTGCTTAGCAGAGGAATGGTCCTAAAGCGTTCTATAAATCCTATTTTAACCGTTCTGTAAGCTCTTTTTTATAGTAGTGGTGGATGTTGCACGTGCAGCCCTTGGCGCACCATGGCAGCCTTATGGCTTGCCGTGGGTAAGCCGCGTAGGATGCTTGCATTTGAGCTTTCTTGAGGGTTTTTTTTGTGCATAGCTTTGTACATCATTAAGAGGAATATGCGTAGACATTGCTAGTGAAGCAATGTGGTGCAATGAGATCGTGCGAGTTGTGAGCACTCCAAATCTTAGTGCTAGGCACTTGGATATTTTAGACTACATAAAGTTTTGCTTATTTTGCCGTATTAATTATTTTATCAATCTAATTTGGTATTAATTATTTTAATAAATTTTGGAGGCTAGGCCTTGATTTTTATGAGCGGCATTCGTAAAATTTTATTTTGGCAAATAATTGGGTTTTACCAGCTTAATCAATTGGATTAATTAAGATGGATGCGTAATTTAGTGGGAGCTTCAAATATTAATTGCGCTTATTTACATAATCGGTTAAAACAACTTTGACTAGTTTTAATTAGGCGTGTTAATTGGACTAACCACCTAGATTAGTTACTAGTTATCGCGTGTTTATGCATTGTTACTTGTTTATCGTTGTAAAATGCATGGGCCATTCACAAATAGTGAATGGATGAATGGAATGTATATCTCTCACAAGTATTATGAAATTGCAACTAGTGGGACCCGATTAGGATAGAAAATACGGACTACGTGTCGTGATGTATTTTTGTAAATCTAAATACAGTCTACGTACCATTGAGTATTTTTGTACCTTAATATTTAGATTAATCCTAGTCGTAGATACTAGTAGTTGCATAATTTTTGGTTAATTTTTGAAGACGGAGTTTCTTGGAAGACGATGCCTTAAAGTTGCAAGTGAAAACTTTTTGAAGACTGGAAGAATTCAAGGGGTCATGCTAGTTGCCAATATGCATCTTATACTTATGCTTTATATATTTATGCTTGTGCTTATATATGAATGATATTTTGGATGCATGTGTAGGTTTTCAAAATGTTGTGATGATTAGTTAAGTTCACTTAAATAAACCAACATAGAAATCCTAGGTCCCTAATAATATTGAGTTAAAACTTGCATTTCCAAAACAACACTTGCAAACCGAATGGGTGTAATGGTGGGCTACGCCAAAGCGAGGCACCATTACTACTTTGAGGTTGGTAAGGCACACCGGGTGTGCAAGATGGTTTTGGTTTAACTCATCGTTATGAGTGACGAGTCCTCACATGCCGTGGCAAAAGAGATAAATCGTCAAGAGAGCATTAGATGCAACGATTATCTAACCAAGAGTGGCTTGGAGCCATTAGCAAAGAGTTGCTTACCTTAGAAGATTGAGTGTTAAGACAAGCCAAATCATGATTAACCACTCTTTGTTTCTTTGGATCTTGGAATCGACTTATTCTCGCCAAATGGGGAAAAATTTAAGGCGTGGATAAGACGTTTAATAAGATTGAATTTTGCATGAATGCTCTTAAGTTTCAAACTTATTATATTCTTGATAAATGGTTATACTTTGCACTTATATTTATAGTATTCTAAATCAAATAATATTGTTTTCATGATTGGTAAAGGAAATCTTTGAGGATAGTTCTGAAAGAAAGGAAAAGCATTTCTAAAATACAATTCTCATAAATGACTTTTACAACAAAGTCCGAAAGGACAGTTGGACATCATGTATTCAAAATACTAGGTAGTTTTGATAAAACATGAAGTGTTGAGTTGTGTAGGGAATATTTCAAGCATTACCCCAAACTTGAACCTCACTGTTTTCATACACTAAAGCACGGTGGCATCCAAAGGGAAGGAAGCTAGAGCAAAAGAGTCGCCAACAAATTTTAGGAACTTGTAAACCGTTCAAAGGGTGAAGGTTACACCCCTTAACGATCCAGAAAATCAATAACTCCAATAGGACTGGAACCAAGACTGGAAGTTCGGGTATGAAGGTACAAATCCAACCTAAAAGAGACTGAACCTGCCCTAATAATAGGCCTCTACTTTATTCTGATCATATTCATGTGCGCTTTTTGACTAACATGCAATCAATAGGATTAACCCTAAACCTGTTTAATCTATGTTGGTTGAATATTAATACACAAACAAATTTATTATTGGTGATCACTTGAATTATAATCATATTAACCCTAAACAAGATTATTAATTATCTTATTAAGCGTGATTACAAGTACAAATTCCCTTCAAACATCCATAAAAGGCTTGATCAAGCAATAACAATAAATATAACAAATATAAAGCAACATGATAATAATCATAATAATAACAATAATCATGATAATCATGTTAAAGCATAATAATAGCAAGATCCTAGGCATGATACTAACAAGACTAATAACCAACCCTAGCATGTCACTAAACATCAAAGATCAAATATATAGCCCTGACATGATACTAACATGAATGTTAGGAAAGACAGTAGGAAGCATCACAGAAATCATAATAAGCATATTTGATATTATAACCTTTACCCTAAACATGATACTAGGAATCATTGTTGTCATTAAAAACATTAAATTAAGGAAAACATCCAAACATGATACTAGAAATCAAAATAACAACCTAGACATGATTTTTATATCATAATATCAATAAATCAATTAAAGTACTTACTTGGATGCCTCGTATCTCTTTCTAATAACAAAATACAGACATTAGTAACTTCAAGGAAAATATAAAATTAAATAATTAAATGAAATAAAGATTTGGGGAAGTTTATACTAGATTTGAGACCAAACCCTCAGCAACCAAACCTTTCACGTCTAAGGTGAAGGCAACTTCGAATTATGATAGGTTTGTCTAGATCTTGTGAATGCGGAATTTTGTATTTGAGAAAAGGCTAGTTCGGAAAAGAGAGAGAAGATCAAGAATTTCTTGATGAAAGTTGGTGATTCAAAACGGAGGTTTTAGGAGGCTATTTATAAAGAAAATCAACCGGATATGATAAAAAACGAATCAGAGTTTCGAAAAGAATAAAACACGACGCTGTCGCCAAACACACGTCTGTCGCCCGACCCCAGATGTGTCGCCAGACGCTTGATCTGCCGCCTGGCGACATACGTGTCGTACGGCGCAGCAATCAATCTTTCCATGCGTTATCTTATTTTGATAAAATTTAAGCGTACGAGGGGGTAAAACTGTAATTCCCTTAAAAACACTTCTTTTGTTCCAATTAAAACTCTTAAAAGTCAATTTATCAATATTAATTAAATTAGGATTCAAAAGAACCTTCTAGAAGATTCTAGAAGACTATAATCAATCCTAATTGCATTAGGAATGAATAATCATAATAGACCCTCCTCTAGATCATTGGGCCGCATATAAGAATCAAACCGGGCCCAATTTAGTAATTTGGCCATAACTTCCTCATTATTCATCGGAATTGAGCTTATAATATATCATTGGAAAGATCTTTTCGAACCCGACCCAACTACACTATTATTGGACCCTTGACATGGACCAAACTAAACTGGATTGGCTGTTTTCACAAAATAGGTTTTCAAAAACAAAGAGAGAAAAGAATTAAAAACTAACCACAACACTAGACTTTCCACACTTTCACTTCATTCGATTATTATTTGACATGAAAGGTACTCATCACTGGGTTTGGTTTTAGGGAGACACAAATGGGTGTCTACAGAAGCCCCCACTTTGACTGAGTTAGGAGAAACATAAGTTTCGAAAACAAAAGTCAAAGTATCAATAGGGACGGAGAATGATTCAAAACGTTATGCGATCCTAAATCACTCTTGTAACGCCAATACCTACAAAACTAGCGTTAGTTAAAATTGATAAGAGAGTTAAGAAACACGTATCTTGCACCGTCGAGCACACGTCTCTGAAGGTAACCGATTTGTTTCATTTGCCGTTTTGACAACCTTCCATAAGCTAGGGAATGCCATCTTCCTGTTTTGATGTTCACTCGTCTCTGAACAATAGAGCTTTTTGTGATATGTCCATGCGTCTCTAAACAAAGAGCTTTGACGATCTTCCTTTAGCTAGGGGATATAGCCTGAAGACTGCTATGCCTGTAACTGCCTCCAATTTCCGCTGTGATAGTCTTCGAAAGACCACTACTTGTTAATCCTTAATGCTACTTGAATTTTGTTGTTGATGCTTTGGGTGATGACAATCCTTTTTTCTTTGGGAATAGTTGCCAACACAACTCTTGTATGATGTATGACAATCTAATTTAGGGAAAGTTGTCAATGCTATGTAACAATCCATCATTGGAAATGTTGCCACGATGAAGCGACAATCCGTATCTCGGAAAATTTGCCAAAATCCAATTTTGGGAAAAGTTGCCAATGCTTTGTAACAATCTTTCATAAGAACTTTGCTACGATCGACAATCCACATCTTGGAATTTAACTCTAGAAAGCAATCGACCTTGAAAATTTGCCAACGCTATGCGACAATCCTTTTAGGAAAATATTGCCACCATTGACAATCCATGTCTTGGAACATTTACAAAAAAGAGTCAACCGACAATCCACTTCGGGAAAATTTCCCACTTACTGAAATGAATGACAATCCACGTTGAGAAACCTTTGCCGAAATTTATGATGAGTAGAGACCTACGACAATCCT